CAGCAGCAGCAGCAGCAGCAGCAGCAGCAGCAGCAGAAGCAGAAGCAGAAGAAAAAGAAAGAGAAGAAAGAGAAACAAAAAAAACTCCAATCTTCAGTATTTTGAATTTTTTTTACGGTGTTTCAGTGTTCTTATTCACTTGCTTTTTTAAATGCTTTGTTAAAACTGTTATAATAGCTTGGATCAGCCAAGACTTTGTTTTAGGTTTCGATATACCGCGTATAACGTATACCAACAGACATACAAGCGTCTGTAAATTTGCCAATTTTCAGCTTAAGTTTTCTCGGCCGATAAAACATCTGACATAATTAATCTTCGTAGGGTTACTAAAATAAAGGTGCTCTTTTCAGTGCTGGTGTTGGTTTTGATGCATTTTTAATTTGATGCATTTCAATTTTCGGCCGCCATTTTGGCAAGGGCAAGGCATCTATATTGAAAATTTGGTATATATCAGCGTGGGGTCGGCGACAGTTTTCATAATCGCCTTATTGATTTGAAAGTCTCTGATGTAAGAGGTTTCTCTAACTTTCATATTCATTTTTTGGAAAAATCACTCTGCTTACGGGGCTCTTCCGTGAGGTTCGCCTCACACGCACTACCACTATATTCTGTGTTATTTGAATATTATCTGAAAATCAGGCATTGTGTTTTCAAGTTTGAGAAAAGCCATGTAAACGTGGACTGCAAATGTTAATTTTAAAAACACTACCTTGTTGATAATTTTTTAGTTTTTCTTTCTTTCACGGTATATTCATATTATATGATAATCATACTGTTGGGAGATTTCCCTTATGATATATCCAGTTTGTAATCACTTCAAAATCATGCAATCTGATTGGTTAAACGTGATGCTTTTTAATCATTAATCAACTTGTAATGCAAATATCAGTGAAATTCATAATATTAGTTGTATACTTTTTACTTCTTGTCGAAAAGCTATTTTTTTTCATCCAAGCCTTCTATTGTATCTCTTCCTGAGCAAATATATATGTTTTCAAAAGGCTACATTTTCAACTTACTAGGAAACAGTTTCAAGTAATAGGTTGGAACCTTATTCTGTTGTTTTCATGCAGAAATTGAAAGTTGTAACGCAACAACGAACAAGTTAGTCTAAATAAATGTACAGGGATGATTGAAAATGGAGAGCATTGAAAGGCCGCTGTAAATGAGGTTTTTGAAATTCATTAATCTGGTTGACACCTTGCAAAAAAGAAAAAAAAAGAAAAAAAAAAAAAAAAAAAAAAAAA